AATTCTGTAGACTGGCACACTTAGTTACCTGTATGACTAATGATGTTTGAGGAGATTACCTGGAAAGAAAATTGAATTCCAGTGTTCTTGGAACTCCTTAGAGTTTTTGTTCCCTTTTTTTTTAAGGTATTATTGAACAATCAAAATACAATTTCAGCTGTTTACTGAGTTTCATCTTTAGCTTCCTAGTGTTGCAATGTTTCTGTGTCAAATGCAGGAGAATATTTAATAACTTTCCATGGAATTTTTAAGTGTGGAAATATTTCCAAAAATTAACACTTGTTGGGGGGAAGGAGGGGAGAGTCAAATGCAAGTTGAAGGAACTTTTATCTGTATATTTAATGTTTCCTGACTATCTAATTTTCTTCTTTACTTCTATAGAGAAGTCTTGCTACATTTTCAAGTCTATGCATCAGCAGCAAGGAGTAGGGTCTGTCATAGCAGGTGTGTGAGGAAAGGATATTGTTTCAAGACGAGCAGTCCGAAGAGACAGAAAGAGAAAGACTAAGAAAGGAAGGAATTACTTCTTGAAAGGAATTTGGCAAAGCTAAGGAAGTTTGTCAAATAGAAATCAGGAAGGATGAGGAACAAAGATATATCCATCGCTGTGTTCTTCCTAGTGCTGTTTCCCATCTTCCTGCAGGAGCTTCATCCTTTCCCCGATGTTCCCCTTGAAAATATCCAGTAGAGTCTGGAGAGACACTGTGTTATTACTCTGAAATAGGGTGGTCTGTGTAATCAATTCCATTTCAGCTGCTGAATTTAAAATAAAACGACCACACATTGAATGGAGCTCAAATTCATTCCTTTTTTTAAACTAGAATGAAAAACAGGAAAAAATACATATGCAGAGTTATGTTGCAGTGAACTTTAAACAAAATATTTCGAAGACAAGTAAAGGGAACGAAGTGCTTCAGTTGCTAAACTGATGGCAGCAATGTCTTCTTTTCATCCAGGGTGTTTAGAAATCTCGTGAAGGATGAGTGAAGCCCAGAATCCATTCTTTTTACTGTGCTTGAAGGAGTCTGAATTGTATCTTCTATCTTCGAAGAAAGTGTTCTACGAAAATGTCTTATATTCTGTGACTTCCCTGCGGTCCTTCTAGCTTGAAAGTTTCACTTTAATTAAAATACATGGCTGTTTTTTATAGACAGAGCTGGATTTCCCAGGGCAGTCAACTGCAGGCAAGAACCGGGCTGCTGTACCCATGACAGTGAACGCATGGCCCTATTCTATGTCATGTGGGCTGAATGTTTTGCGAGTTCTGAACCCTGAATTTATCTTATAGATGGGTCCTAAGTAAACTACCTGAAAGATTTAGTCTGAGTTCAGGAAAAGGAGGGAGGAAGTGTGGATGGTTGAACGTCCTGAGTAATTTTCTCAACCACTAAGAAAATTACTACTGCTTTGTTTTATTTCTTCCATCAATATTTAGAAAATCTGAGCTTGAGAAACTAGAGTCAAAGTAAATTTAAAGAACCTTGAAGGGCTAAAGCTGTGCATTTTTGACAAATAAGTTACTATACCAGAAAAGAGCAAATTAAGTTTCACCAGGCTTCTGATCTTCAAGCCTACAGAGCTCTTCTGGCATTGAAACGTACCACAGGCTTCTGGACTATTTCATATTTGCATAAATTGGAGAGGTCAGAGCTCTATCTTGCTATAGAATCAGGCATCAGATGCTTGTGTCCAGAATTTACATCATGTTATACACTTAGTCTGCCTAAATAGTAGGAAAGATTTTAGCTTTAATGATCCATTTCTTTTCCCCATGTTCATCATAAATTGATGGCCTTTGTGTTGATCTTTTAAAAACGGAAGACATCGCATCTCTACAAAAGGTGTTGAAGTAATACCTCATTAGGAAAAAAACAAAACAAAACAAAAACCACAAACCAAACCCTGGCAGAACTGTTGCAGAACATGTGTTTAAAGGGCGTGAGATTATTTGCATGTGCACTTGTCACCTATGAGGAACAGGTCATCCCCTGGGCTGCTCCTAGCCCTGCGGACACTCCGGGGGAGCAGAAAACAGCGCTTTGGAAGATGCTGATGCAGAGTGGAAAATGAAAAATAGAGTGGAAGTTTGTTTTCTCTCAATCTGACGTTACTCCTGCTCATCTCGAGTACCTGAGAGGGACCAAGCTTCTCAAAAAATGTGTAGAGGAGTGGAAAAACAGTGGGAAGAGAGATTATGAATAGGCTGCCTTTGGTCTCAAGACGCTGCTGTTTTCAAGCACTAATTCTGGCAGTTCTTTCTTCCCTTTCCCTGTCTTTGAACTTGTTTAAAATGGAACTCAGTCTTCAAATGAGAAGAGAAGAAAAGCAATTGGGAGCCCTTGGTTTTTCATCTACCTCTCCTGCTCTTCAAACTTGCTTATCAGAAACATCAGCGAGTGGAACAGGGCACTGGTCAGGCAGAAGGGCACCCATCAGAATAGAGACGGCTTGGATACTGTTTTCTGCTCTTCCACTGGCATGCTGCATGATTTTGGGGAAAATCAGTTCCCCGTCACTGTTTTCCCCTTATACAAAACAGGAAGGAATAAATTTTACAGGGGATGTTGATTGCTTTCAAATTTTCTGATGAAAAGCGCTGCATAAGAACTAGTCAGTGTATCATTGACTGCATGAATACTACTGAGTCGGTAATAATTTTTCTTCCTCTATGTCAGTTTGGGATACAGAGGAAAATTACCTGGTTTCCTCATTTTTCATTGCTTTCCGCAATGCTCAGGACCCCAGGCCACTGATGTTATGCAGCAGATGCTTTTCATAGATCGGATTAAGGGTTGATGAAGTAACAGAGCCTCATGCAAGCATCCCACTGTGCTCTTGAAACTGGAATTTCATTCCTGATAGTGATCTGTATGGCCTTGCATTTACCTTAGAAAAACATTATTAAAAAAAAAAAGGGGGGAGATATTTGGAAAGAAGGGAGGTAATATTAATACTAAATTCTCGCTAACATATAGTGTTCAATATGTCACTAAAGGCCTAATGGTATTTAATATATGGATTCTTCTAAATAGTGGATGTGTAATTCTCCTAAGATGTTTTATAACCTATAAGAGGAAGAGGTACAATTGTTCACAAATGTTTCACTGAGATTGTTTTAAGTCGGTTAAAATTGCCTTGGAGAGTAGAGTTGCACTAAAAAGAGAGAGGAGAGATGGAAAAAAGAAACCCCAAAACAGGGTCCTGCTCAGTGTAGAGTTTCAGACGAGAGAGGAAAAGGTCTAGTTATCCAGAGCCAGATGCATTGTTAAAAGTTCATACTATCACTTTGACATTTAGAGTAGGACTCAGTGTCTTTGTAAATTCCTGTTCGTATTACCAGTGTAGGTCTCTGAGCTCAGACCATTTCACAAACCATAACATTTTTTAGTGAGTGATTGATCTGTATTATGTGTCCTAGCCATCAGAAGAATCTTGGGATGTTGCTTGTATAAACTGTAATACAATCTGATCCTGGGCATTTAGTTACAGACTTTCATAGACCTATTGGCGATACTCAATCCTCCTGGATTTGGTAATAGGGCTTATCTGATACCTTAAAAAAAAAAAAAAGATGGGGGGGAGGGGGAGAAGGAAGAAAAAAAAAAAGCCCCTCATTTTCTCTGTTCCTCACTTAAATAACTCAACACATCTGGCAACACTAGTGATCATTGTCCTTTCAGTTCCTCTGCAGCTCATATTGCTACAATATTTCTTCGGTATCTAGTTTCCTAAAGGGCAACGTGAGGGGTTTTTTTTTTTGTCTGTTTTTATAAATCTTGCAAATTAACCCATATGCACTGCAAGAAAAAACATGACTTTTAATCAGCACCATTTCTAAAGTTAGCGCTTGCTCTGTGTATATGAATATGTATATCAACCAGTGTTTTAAAAAAAAAGAAAACACACAACCTTTCTGCTAGTACTCAAAAGTAGCATACAAATGTGTTTTTATTATCAAATAAAGTATGCCTAAATGTTAAAATATCTTTCTGTTAGGGATTTTATCATTTGACTTCTTGTCTTCAGTTACAAGAGTGATAAAAATTGAAACTAAATCTTTTAATTCAATAAGAACTACGTTGAATTTTAGGAAGCAAAAAGAGGAATCAGATATAGACTTATATGCATAGGAAATTAAACATTCAAGAAATTAAAACTTTGTGAGCTACTAAAGGGGTAGCCTTAAGGTGTGCTTATTTGAAATGCCTGCATCTAATTTTACAATAAATCCGGGTATTTTGTTCCAATTAAGACAGTTCATGTGCATGACTTTAAATTGTACAGTAGTTCCAGGGAGATTGTGGACTGCTTGTTTTACATTCTGGATCAAGTTCAGATTTTTAGGCTTCGCTTGAATAAAATAAAAAGTCTGAACCCTGAAGATAATACAGATTGATAAATCTGATTTAAACATTCCCGTGTTGCAGACTTTCAGTGTATGTGGTACAGCTGAGCCTCAGGCCATGCACTAAATACATCCACAGTGCATTCCCAGGGCACCCGAATACCAAATGATCACATTTGAAAGGTTACCTTTCTATGGATTCTGACTTTTCTGTATTAGCCACGAAGATTAGAATTTTAACAGCTCCCAATGAGAGGTATTGTGAAGTATTTACTTGGCAGGAAAAAAAACAAAACAAAACAAAGCCCAGATGAGGTACTGTCTCGTATTCATGAACTGGGATTTATTAGTTCTGTGAACGTCCTTGTGAGAATACACTCCATAGTTCACGCTTCAGGAAAAAAAAAAAAGAGTCTTGTTTTTCATTTATATTAACTTAAAACTTTGATAGAAGAGTTACTGTAGTAGAGGTTTTAGCAGAGAGACAGGATCGTGCTTGTGCAGAATATGTCCCAGTAAATCCTGCAGTCTTTCACAACTAGCTTTTTGCAAGGAAAGTTACAACCGTTTTTCTCTCTGGAAATCTGGCAGTAGCTTTGTTAGTAAATTTGGTGACAATTAAAGATGTAAGGCTTTTTCTCCTCTTCTTTTACAGGTTGTGGAACTCATTTCAAGTGCTATTGGTGACTTAGTTCAAGGTATATATTATGAAAACTCAAAATCATCTGAGGTAAGAATCTGAGGTAGTACTGAGGTAAGTAGTTTTACATACCCAAGAAGTTTGGTGATATTGGTGTTTGACTACAGTAAATGTGATGACTTTCTCATCTGTTTAAGAGGAGGAGGGAGAGGGAGGAAGAGAATTAGCTGTAGTCCTGGTGAGTTTCAGCAGTAACATTGTTATGACACCTGAGAACTCTGGAAGTTTCTAGAAATGCTCAAAGAGGGACTATTTTATTTCTGTGAGAGCTTTATAAAATAATATCATGTGTCATTACCAGGAGCTCTAGACATGTCTTACTATGGGCTTTCCAAACACTTCTGGAGGTTTCTAGTCAAGGTTCTGTTACAGGCATTTATTATAATGTTGTCAACATCATTAACACTTTCATGTTAAATCTCTCATTTCCAAGCCTGAAGTTGTTTACAAAATGCTTCATCCCAAACTTATATCGGGTCCTTTCTTCTTCTGAGTGTTCACTTTTTAATAGTATAAACATGAGTTTTGTCCTGAAGCAGTAGGAGTGTAGCACTGCACTCTTCTCCACCTAAAGTCACCGTGCACGCATTGCAGCAGTTGGCATGGGCAAAGACAGCGGCTGCCAGTGTTTCACACCAAACAATCTTATATTTCTTCAAGGGCAATTACGGATGTACTGTGTTACTGTGTGGCAAGAACTGTAATGAAAATTGGTCAAATTAGATCTAGGGTTTTTTTGTCTTTACAGGAATATTTAAGGAAACTTGTAGAGACACTTCTTGAAGTAGGCATGCTTTGGCAGGATGTTGAGGCAGAAAAGAGTTCGTTCTTTCATTTGCTATGACTGTATCTTAACACATGCAAAAAATTGATAATTTAAAGTTGCCATGATCTCTACAGGTTTTATGATAGCAAGTTTTCACTGTATGGGAATGAAAAGCAGTATGTATATATGAATATCTATCTTGAAATCCACTGAGGTAGATAGATTTTCGTATAGTGATGATGTCTCATATGCCTAGTTTGCCTCAGAGACCTGAATCTTAATGTTCAGTAGGTGAAATACTTTGAAGATTGCAGAAATATATGAGTTCATTTATATTTGTTGTGTATTTAGATTGCAGCTCTAGCTTACTATTGCTGTGTTGTAGTATGTAGTAAAATTAATACCTTAGTGGAAGCCCTGAGTTACCGCTGCAGTAGATGCTTGCACTGATGGCTCTGCACCAGCCAAACCACAGTGGGCAAGCGGAGGGTGCCGTCAGCTAACAGCGGCTGGGTCCTGGAGGGTGCTGCTGCACCCAGCGACTCCGCTGGTCAGTACCTGTCTCTCCGGCTCTGCAGCAGCAAAGACATGTTACTAAAACTAACCTTGTTTAAGGCTTTATCCCTCTCGTTTTGATTGAAACCAGTTAGGTAGGAAGCGAATCACGCTGATGAGCTGAGCCCTTCCCTCGGAGAAAGCGAGAGCCTCTAGCAGGAAAGCGGTAATGGCACGCTCGGGAGACGCCTGGGGCCGCGGGCTCGCCGGGCTGCGCACAGAGGACGACGTGCACAGTGTGTCCTCTGGCACCTCTCAGGAGGGGGCCCTGGGTGGAAGCGTGGCAGCAATGCAACGTTGGGAACTTGGCGGTCCTTCTGCACCTGCTGTTCTTTAACCTGTGGATAAAGAGACTGCAGCCTTCGGGGTTGCTCCCAAGTACAGTGCTCAGGGTTATATGTTAAAATAGATGACGTCTTTGAGATTTTTGCAAAGAATGTTTAAAATTTCATTTTCCGTGTTCAAGCAGGTTTCTAAATACAAGTAGATCCCAGATTCGTCATATTTTAAAAAACAACTGCTCTTTTGTGTGTAGAAGTAAAGCTCTACAAGTTCATCTCAGCAATAAAACTGCATGTTATTTTAACCATGGCCCCTGTATGAGAAATGGTGTGGACTCTTTTGGGTTCCTGCCACTGCAGAAGTTCTTAATCTTCTTTTTTTTAGTCTTTCTTTTTCTGTTTATTTTCTGTTGCATTACTGAAGCACTCCACATGTGCAGATTGCAAGGGAAGTGTGAGATAAACTAAGCACAGCTGCATGATGTTTACCCTGCCCTGGCCCAATTACGAATAGCAAAGACTTATTTTGTTTCAGTGACTTTTTCTGTCTGAGGAGAGTTGAAAGTACAGTATACCCTTCCTAAGGGGAACCCAGTTAACTCAAAACATAATTAGTATGGTGGCATAATAGATACTGAAATTTACATGACAGTGTCTGAAGTTTAGTCTTTATAATGGGTAGTGCATGGCTTCTGATGAGACCTAGAACAAACAAGTGTGGGATCTACTTTAGTTTTTTTTTTTTTATCTTGTCCTCTGAGAAATTTGGTTCCGTGTTGAGTATGAGACATATCCTGCTGCTTTCCTCACACTATTCTGCTGAGGCAGTGTCCCATTTGTGTCCTGAACATCTCTTAGCAAAGATTGCCAAATGGACTAGGTCAGTTGTTGGTCTGTCTTATTTGTATCCTTTGTGCATCTTCCTTCCATCCCTAGTTGCAATTTGACTGAAACAAAAATGCGAACAACATTTCCTAGAGGTAAGACAAATGCTTTAGTCTACTCCACAACTAAATCTCAAATGTCAAACTTTATTTCTTTTTAAGAGTAGGGCATAGGGATGTTAGTAATGGCATTTTCATTGTTGGAAATGACTTAAATTTGGAAAAGCAGAAGGATATCTTCCCTCTTTTTTTTTCCTTTGAGAGGCAGGAAAACTGTATTTCATATGTTAAATGTCTTTAATGCAGTTGTTATAAAGCAGCTCAGTACCATAAAATAGACCAATTTAACACCAAGTTGTTTTGAGCTTTGCTAGATGTCTACCTAGATGGTAGACAAAAATACAAAAATAACTCTGGAAAATTAACCTTTCTCCTCTGAGACCCTAAGTTCATGTTTACCCCCCAAAAAATGTTTCGGTTTGCTTCATTTGGATGACCCAGTAGGAAAATTGAAAGAATCATGTGACCTAGCAAGACTGACCTTATTTACTGCTGAAAACATATAATGGATGTGATTATTTGACAGCTCTCATTACCACTTCTTTTCTCTGTAAAACCACATGCAATCCTACAGCCATCCCATTTTAGTACATTCTGTTTGGTCATTCCTCATCTTGTCTGCATAGTGAGTCATTAGATCTGTGTGAAATGGAGAAAATACAGATAATACTTAACTTTTCATCTTTATTTGAAGTGACAATCCAAACTACGAAGTGTAGGCTTTGGTTGCAAAGACAGCCTGAAGGTTAGGGTTGCCACTCATGTTCAAAGTACCAAATAGCTGCTGTGGTTTAAGACATTGCATTAGCAGTATTAAGCTAATATTTTGGACTGTAAGCTGGAGCAGAGAGGGGTGATGTGATAAACCTTTGCAGCTTTCTGTGCTAAATCCCCTCTCAACCCAAAATGCTGTGAGTGAAGGACATTCTTCCCAGTTCCTGTCTGTCTTTCCTAAATCTAGGTCTAATTTGAGAGTAAAAATTTGTGCCTTAGTGAGTGCAAAAATGAAAGTTGTCTAATCTGGCCTTCAGTCATGATTGTGGTATCTATTTTTAACAGAAAAAACATTGCACTGAGTCTCTGTTTCCTACTTCTAGGAGACTGAAGACTTCTAAAATGTTTGCTAACTCACAGAATACTGTCACAGTTTTAGAAACCTTCTGTTAATATCCCGGATCATTTAACAAATATTAATGAAGAATGCTTTAACATCCCTGTCAGTTCACTGAATAGGAACGAGAGATACAGGGAAGCTCAAGGTCAAACAGCAGAATCAAGAGCAGGACTTGAGCGTGTTGGCTCTTGTGCTTTGCCTGCCAGACCATTCTTGCAATCATAAAGTATTAGGAACTTCCATGGGAAACTACTATGGTGGTTTTTCTTTTTTCCCTCACCTCCAGAATATCTAGCTGATGCTAAACGTGCATTACCAAAACTCATTTTTAGAGTCAGAATAGGACTGTTATGTAAGGCAAGATCATTTCCAACATGTCCCACTGATGGCTAGAAGAGCTGTTAGGTATTTTTGAAATTTTCTACGCAATTGTATGAAAATTGTGCATAGCTAATACGTAAAACAAGTTTGAAAAAGAAATACATTAGTGGCAAGTACTCACTGTACCAAATATGAATTAACAGGTATTTGTTTTAGACCAATGTAGGTTTGTTTTAATGAAAATAAGTTTATTTTCTGGCAAAGCACAGGCTACATGCAGTGAGTTGTACCAATTCTTCTTTGAGGAGTAATGTTTTGGGGTACTGCACGTGTCCATCAACTGGACTGCTATGAGTCTATGTTATAAGTAAAGGGTTTGCTTACAAATTTTACCGTAGGAGGTAAATCAAATGTATTTTGAGTCATGTAAACCACCTTTTAGCAGGGCAGCAGTCAGAGTCAGAGCTTTCACTTTTTTTTTTTAAACAAATGTTTCTGTTGCAAGACAAAAGGGAAGGATAAATATGGAATTTGAGTAAAGAGCATCTGTGAAAAGGATGGGTAAATGTGTCAGAGGGGAAAAAAAAAACATAGCTAGAAAGAAGGCCAATGCTATTTGTTTACAGCTTTTGTTCTTTTAAATACTAAGCTTTTCCAGAGAGATTTAAAAGTAACAGATGTGGAGAGATATTTAAATTTATTATAAGTTTTCAAACTTTTTTTTTAATCATGTGTTGCTTTTTTTACAGTGTCATGATAAAAGTATTAGGTAGTCGGTAGCATGCTTTATTGACCCATTTGTAGACACCCTTGTTCCTCTGAAAGCAGTGAGGACCTGTATTAATAGACCAATAAAACATGCCCTGTCGTGTTCAGCAAGCAGGAATACATCTGTTGAAAGCTTATGTGAACCATGTGCAAGATGTTTTGCAGGGTCTTGCTACTGGTAGAGGGATTCATAGTTGCATTGGATTTTATTTATGTAAAATAGAAGTTCTTGAACTACCTAATACAAAACTTTAAAATGCTATTTAAAAATATTTCTATGTGTTTCTGTGGATTATTTGCCCATTGAGAACCAAACTAAAATTTGATATAAGTGGTTCAGACATTTCAATCGTTTTGTGCAACAGCAGATGGCTAAGAAAGAACTTGCCATGGTATGGAAATAAAATAAAGGCTCCCTTACAAACTATAGGTGAAGTTTTACATTGAAAAGTCTTTGACTGCTACTCGTTCCTGGTTTTGCAAATTTTAAGACACAGTTTTCATTCATATTTTCCTTAGTATGTTTTCAGCTGAACTGTGTATAAGCATCTTCTTTGGTGTGACAAATCAAACTGAGTTATTGTAAGTGCCACTTTTGGACTGGGGATCCTTGTTACCATCACTAATTGCTGCCCTTCCTGATGGTTATGACTGCATATTTTGTCCTGCAATTTCATTTTCTAGAAGTTTTTTGTTTCCTGTTGCCTGAGATGATTGTTTCAAACCCAATTTAAATTATGGAAGTACCGTAAAAAAAAAATATCTCACCTAGCTGATTTCTTTCTAACAAAACAGTAATCAACCTTGCCATTAGTAAAATGGAAGCACCCTCAGCTGTTCCTAATTTCCCATAGGAAATTATGATCAACAGAGCTGGATTCGGATATTTTCCCTGTACTCCCATTCCGACATTATCCAAACCGTATCTGAAGTTGGCTGCTTTCTTCCAGGGATGATGAGGGGTTCGGCTCTCTTCATCCAGCTTCTGCTACCCAGACAGCATCAGGGTTGGTTGTGGTCTGGACCCATTTCTTGGTGACAGAACTTGTGAATGAGGTTACTCCATAGACGTTAGTTAGTCAAATGTCAGAGCACTGTCAACTACAGCTAGAATTAATTTGAGTTTAAAAAGACTTTTATATGAAAGGCTGCTAGGAGTCTTCTGGGCCAGCGAATGTCCACTTTTATATTTATCTTTTGAAATATCCACTGCTGACAAAACAAAACAAAGCTTACAAAAAAGTGAAACTTTCTCTAAAAATAATAAGTGCTGTCATGATGTCAGATTCCAGAGACTTTGCAATCTAGAACTAGTTTCATTTTTCCCTTGATGTTTTAAAATACTGTTTAGATCTTGTCATAAATACCCTTGTTGTAAGAATGTAGTGTGGTTGGTGGACAGTTTGTATATAACACAAAAGTTAAGCTTGGGAAAAAGCAGCATTTGGATTGTTGGAAGACTTTGCTGAGGAAAGATTATGTCTGCCTCTGCTTTCCTAAGCAGCAGAAGCTTTAGGGGTATGTGGTCATAAGACATTCTGTGATTAAAATCAGCTATATTTTGGCTTGCAAGCTCATATGCTAAAGCACATCCATACGGCATAATGCCTTTTTACAACTGGCTTCTTTCTGTAACCCAGAGATTTACAATACCTATGTTTTTAAGATTTCAGTACCGTGTCTTCAAATATGTCTCAAATTTTTGTCTTTTTTTTTTTTTTTAAGTTAGGTGTCCACTTTGGATGCTTGAAGCTCCTACATTATGTTCATGTAGCGAACAGTAACTTGTTGTGCCATCATTTTCAATCCTATAATGAAATTCAAGCTTGTTTAAGAAGAATATGCTGTTGTAACAAATCAAAAAATTAATTTCCTTGTATACGTCGAGTTGCAATGACTTTAAGCTTCTTCAGTTCCTGCAGTTGGTATTTGATAATGTCTGCATTTCTGTTACTGCTCAAAGGCTCCAGTAAGCAAGCGTTTTCAACTTACAGGTCTTCTGAAAGGTTTCTTTTAACTTCATAAATTGTTTTAGGATACCTTTCTAGAATATTTTTGTGTTGGTTGGATTTAAAACAAATAATTATAAAAATCACTGCCAATTTTCAATATCACCCAGCAAATTTTAGTAAATACTGTTTTTTCGCTGAGCAGATTGGTTGTTAAGGAAAAGATTGTGTTGCATCTTCCAAGAGCTCCTGATTTTAAATTTAAAATAAATTGATCTATATCTGAGTGGAAAAAAAAGACTTGATATATAGGAAACTACTTGAATTAAATGCTCATTTTGATATGTTGCCAGTCATGGGAATTTGCACATGCTCTGGGCTGAGTTAAGATATTAAAACAGAAATACTACAGTAAAATGAAACACGAGGAAAGTTTAGGCTTGACTTTGTAAGTTGTCATATGCATAATAGCAAACATGTGGTTTCTCTGTTCTTCACTTTCCTTGTATAAGTTAATAGTATGTCTGAAAGCAAAGGCATTTTGATACAGCTCTGAGTTACTTGGCATTGCAGAATTCTCCTACTTTTTCCATTAGTCTCAAATTATCCTCTCCCTTGTAACGCAGCACTTCTGGGTGATATCCATAAGGGAGGAAAATTAGAGCTGAACGGATGGATTCTATTTCATTTGTTACCGATTTAATGACAGATAATACCTTGCTAGAAAACCATGGGGTCACACAGAATTACTTCTTGCTCATTTCTAAGTAATTTAATTGACATCACTTTGAGGGAAAAGGCTTGTTATACAAGGGTTTTTATATATTACTCTTTTAAAGAATACCTTTTGGCTTAGAGTACACAACAGATTTGGCTGAACTGAGAAATTACAAACTTTTTAACGTTTATATGCTTGAAATTTTTTCTGTAGCTTCTCATTACTGATTTTAGTTTTTTCAAAGCAAAACAACTGTGGTCTTTTCTGGTTTTGTTTTTTTCCCTTCTTTAGAGAATACCTAAAGGTGTGAAAGCAACATGTGTATGTGAGGAAGATTACAAGTCATGTCTAGCTTTGAAGACCCGTTAGTAAAATAGTGGCATATTAACACCTTGTGAGCCAAAGGAGCTGCAGTTGAATTTGGGTTTGGGGGGAAAGGATTGGATTTTGCGTTGATTAAAACATTTTGTGGAAGGTAATCCAAATTAATATTTTGGATACAAAGGATTCTGAGAAGTGTTGAGCATCTCTGACCTTACAGTCAAGGTGATAAAGTTCACTAGAGGCATCACTGAGATCTCTGTCAGTCCCCAGGGAAAGTTAATACCTGACATTTCTAAATCACAGCTTTATTTATTTATTTTTTAATACTTTCAGTCATTCCTCGTCCTTACTGTGGGATTAGAAGAGGTACAAGTTCTCCGTCACAGCCCTTCATTTTTCCAATGCAGTTCTATAAGGATTTTTAATACCTTTTGTAATTTTTTTTTCTTGACTACAAAGGAGAAATTGTAGTGACTTCTCAAGTTGTTTGGGATTGTTGGTTCTTGATAACTGGCAAGGGGCTGAAGTGCAGATGTACTCTGGGGTTTTTTTTCTTTGTTTTGTTTTGGGTTTTTTGTCTTTTTTCTTTTTTTTCTCCCCAGATCCTCATGAGGAATATAGTCAGCTGTTAATGTTCAGTGTAATTGTACAGTCATTAAGAAAAGGATCTATGTTGAATCTGTTGACAGCTCCACGTATTTTGCATTGTTCTTTTTGAGCAGAAAATGAAAATGTTGTTTGTTGAATCTACCAGTATATTTATTCTGATACTTTTCTCTACTCATCCCCAAAAGAATGCCCTTCTTTATTTGGCACCATGGCACACAGAGTTTTGTTACTCACGCATTATCCTGTGCCACACCATTAACTTCTGTGAGCTGACACCGCTGCAGTTTCGGTGTTTTCATGTTAACCTTTGTTTCATTTTCAGGAGAACTGTCTTACAGATGATATCGGCATATCTACATGGAAGGAGCAGGTTTACCTGTCACATAGCGCCTTGCTGGCAAAGAGCTGCCAGGCTGCAATGGAGCTAGCAAAGCACACTGCTGAGATTCAGGACATGGCATTTCAGTATGGAAAGCACATGTCTATGAGTCATAAGGTACGCCTTTCCCTTTCATTCTGGGATCTTAAAAACAAAGACTTGTAAGATATGTTGCTCTTGAGCTCTGTCGTATACTGCTGCTATGCTGTAGACTTTTGCCAGCAGGTCAGTGGTGTTGAGAGATTTGACTGCTGCCTTGTGTGAAGATGTTTGCAGAAACTGCTGGTATGAACAGTGCTTATGAACTGGAAAAATCACAATTCTGGCAATGTAACTTATTTCATTCAAAGCTCTGTTAATGTCCCTCTAGCACATCTTTCTGTAGCAGCTTAAAACTTTACCTTCTGTGCGCCTATGTTCTTCTTGAAGCCACTGTCCCAGTAGCAGGAGTTCCAGGAGGAAGCATGTGTTGGGTCTTAGCTGCCACCATGCAGAGATTTGTACCGAGAGGCTCAATGGCCTCTAGCAGCACACGAGGTTGAGGCATGAGCTGTGGTGGCTAAAGGACCTGCATATGTTCCCTTCTGAACAATCTGCTGTGGAGGTAACTTCCAGAGGGGGTAGCTGGGGGATAAGGAGGGAGGTCATCAGGTAGAGCCAGGAGCAGCCTACACTTCTGCAGCAGTAGGATTTCCCAGAGAAGGCTGCTGACCTCCATTAGAAGTCTTTCAGCCCATAGCTAGAGAAAACACACACGGTGTGGAACTCGGGTCCTTGGCACTCTAGTTTTGCCCTAAAGATCTGCTCCTACAAGTATAGACATAGCTTGAGACAGGCAGACAGACCTCCCATCCGATTCAGCTAAGGTGGTTTAGACAGTTTCTAGTTCCTCCAGGAGAAGGAATTGGTTTTATAAAACACCACTTTACTGCCATAGAAATGCCACTATATGCTATTACTAGGTACAACTCTACCAGTAAATTGCTTCTAGTGCAGATTATAGCCTTAATATTTTGCGTATGCTTTAATATTAATACATTCACCATTGGCATACAGTTGTGTGTAAAGGATTGCATAATTTTCATAGAAAGCTCCTAGCTATGTAATGTTTCCTTTGTCAGAAGGAGGGTCATATTGCATCAGCTTCCTTAGTTACTGAAAAGTAGAATGTATTACCCTTCACAGAGTAAAACCTGATATCCTTCCCACCAAAGACTGGATCATTCTTTCCTTTATATTTTTTCTGCTTCTTACCACTCAAAAATTGCCTACCTGGCTGGGTCCCATCACTTGCCCAGCTCTGCAAGCTGTCCTTTAGCCATTTCTTTGCAGATTCTCTACATGCTTCTCTTTACCACAACTTTCTGCCACTGCAGTGCTTCCTCCTCTTCCTCTCCCTCCCCCAAACTTGAAAAAGTGCAACCAAAGTACGAGAGTCAAAGCAGAAAGTAGCGAGTAGGTATAGGATCAGGATATGGACCTTGATTTGGTGAGTGGGTGGATATGTATAAACTGTTCCTGGGAATTGAAGAAAGATGTTCTTCTCTTTCAGCTACATTCAGACCTTCAGCCATTTGTTAAAGAAAGTTCTAGTGACACCATGGCCTTCAGTTTGAATTCTGCTCCTGCAGTCCTGCATCAGGAATTCCTTGGAAGGGAGGCATGGATTAAACAGATCAGAGAGGTAAATTAAAGCAATGTTTAGAATGTCATAGTTTTGCCATTTGTATCTGTCTTCCTATCTATACTTTCAATTTGCAAAGAAACTTAGAAACTGGTAACAGACGAGATGATACAGAGGTTACCTCTGCTCACCAATACTTAACACCTCTCTTCCATGCTTTCAAGAGGGGAAAATCTACGGACCTGACAGTCAAGCTCTGTCAAACTTTTGTGTGTCAGTGTAACAAGCAGATTCATTTGCGTGGAGCATATGTCTGTTCCTCTGCACTACTTGTGCAGTCCCACGTCTTAGCTTAAAGCTACTTTCACTGGCAGCTTAAAGCAGAGAACTTTGCATTACAGTGGTTGAAAGGTAGGCACACATTTCCTTCTGCCAACTTGGCTCTGGGAGCAGGAATTTTGGATGGGGGGAAAAGATCTGGGGAACTTGGCTTCCCGACCACCTCAAAATATTTGTGAGATCCAGCTGGTTGATGTCCTTATTCTCAGTTCTCTTAATTCAGCTGTCTTTTCCTCTAACCCTTAGACGAAGAAGGCAGTAAGAATAAGATAGCTGTCTGGTGTAGATCTGTTTCGCGTACCATGTAGCACAGCAGCGTTCAGGTCCGTGAATAGCTTCCTGGATGTTGTTGAAACACAAATAGATAACTGTACAAGACAGCAGGGAGAGAAAGTGGGGGGAAACACCAAAAATGGCCAAAATTAAGCATTCTGTTGAGTTCCTGCATCAGTCGGACATGTTTTGCCTGTCTAAATAGCTGTGATGAGTACTGTTTGGAAATTCCTACAGTTGTTATACAGATTTTTCAGTAGAAAGGCTGCTGCCTTCAATAAGAAGCTAGATCTGTGCAAGCATATTATTTTAAGATGTGCTTGCCGATGTCTCCTTTCCTTGCTGGTTTGAAAGCAGGACTCTTGGGCAGAAGGTGTGGAGCCTGAGCCTCTGCCTAGTTCTGCGTTCATGATGGCCACGTTGCAGCCTGCCTTCACCTACTGCAAGCAAAAGGCATAGTCTCTTCAGCAGTGAAATTTTGGCAAGTGTATGCAGAATCTACAACCTTACAGTGGTATGAAGTTGGGGGATCTTAAAGTGAAGCAAACGTTTTGTCATTTTGAAATCAGGGGCTGGTAGTTTATAATGTGTGACGAGGAATTTTGGAATTCTACAATCTCAACACAAGGCTCATATGTGAGTTGAATGTAAATGGATTTGGATGATTGTAGTTGGAGAATAATGGTATTATCACAGCACAATTTATAAAAGCTTTGAAACAATTTCCCATCTGCAGAATCTAGAGGAGGTTGAGGGACTCCAGGAGTGCCGTCTGCCTGCTTACTAATTCTCATACAGAAAATGGGCATCATAGAAACAGTGCAGCAATTCTCTCTGAAGCGGGGGAGGAAGGTGACATGCACTATGCAAAAGTATCTACTAACTACTACTTTAGCTAAATACAAAGTGGAACACCTTGTCCAGGAGCCTTTCTTGGCTTGTGTTGATTTAGGAAGGAAAATTAACCTTTCATTAACTACAAGCTCTTTGAGATATCATCCATAGTCACATTCCTATATGACATTCAAGGCAGGCCAAGCACTCAAACCAGAGACTTTCTCATGTTGGCAGTAGTAGTAAGAGTATGCTCATAAGCCACCCTCTTGTGCAGTGTCATTTGTATGGTATACATAGGCAAAGCATGCACAGTGCACTTAGTCCCTGTCAGGTAGAATTTTTCTTAGTAGCTGACTAGGCGTACGGAAATCACATTATGGACCTGTAATTACTGCTAAGTAATCTGGCTTTCTCCTTTGATTGTTTGCCCATATAAGCGTTCATATGATGGGTTGAAGGCAGCACCTCCCCTTGGCAGCTTCCTCCTCCTACAGGAAGGTCTTGGAATTCAAAAAAGTGGAGGTAGAGAACCCCATTGCACCTAGTATAGCCTCCAGTATACTGCTCAGAAAGCAAGTGACTGGGACTCAGTGCCTGTCATGCATATCTTAGATGAAGGCAGTCTTCAGAGAGGTCATGAAGGACACCTGAACTGCTGTGGAGTGCTCAGAACTTCTGTGATTGTTTTATCACAGTTCTCCTGTCAGAGGTTCAGATAGAGTTGCTCTTCCCAAGGTAGCCTTTGAACAGAGGCAGCTATATGCACCTTTCTGCTGCTGAGCTGAAAACCTTTTAAAAGCCCCCTTGCCTCTTCATTTGACAGGAGCAAAATAGATCAAATATCCAGGTGTAGAAGGTTGCATCAATGCCGAGTATATGTGTTTTGAGAAGATTAGGTTCTGATTTGGATGAAATTTAGAGACTGCCTTAAAAGGGACTTGGGAAGTGTATAGGGGGAAGCCTTGTCATAGGAGGAAAAAAGTGTGTAGGTATGTGTACATGTGTGTGTGTGTACATTGATATATATATGTACATGAATGAATGATCATCCGTGAAGACCTGAGTGTCTCCTGGCCTCATCACCAAACCCCTCTACCTTTGTGCATTTAAAACTAAATGCCCAATGAACTGTTTGGTCAGGTGTCTATTTGGAATAGAGTCCTGAAATGCTTTAAAAAAAACCCACAAAACCACCCAACCCTAAATGGTTCCTAGGAAACACTGTGGTAGACAGATAAAGAAGTGCTTGAATGCTCTTCTTCAGAGAAAGTGTTGAAATAGTTGCTGAATGCAGTCCCACTGAGCTTTTGGAAAGCCCTGTATTCTTAAAATTTAGCAGATAATCCAGGATTATAGGATGGAGGATTTCCTAGGGGTCAAAAGACAGAAGAGTTGGTCGCTTTTTAGCCACTTACCTCTTGCTAGACAAGAGCAAAAATTCTCTGGGTTAAACAGGCATCCAACATCTAAGCAGTGAGGTACAAAAGATCAACGTTTGAGTGAAGAAATTAAGCAGAATCCCTCAAGAACAGGTCTAGAATCCATCTTCACTCATAGCATTTGTAAATTAAAAAAGGAATCGGTCAGAAACTAGAACCATCTCATCTAGGCCAGAGTAATCCATGTGCCTTTCACCATATCTTTCTGAGCCTTCTGGGAAAAAGCAGGGCTGGAAGAAAAGCATTTATCAAATGCTTTATCAAGCATTTCTCAAGTATAGGTTTTAGGAACACATGTACAAGGGACCATCTCATCTGAGAAAGAAGAGTCAATCTTGGAAAACATCCTGAAAACCTGCTCCAAAAGCATTTTCTTAAACTATCTGCTTGTGGTCTGCTTATCTGATGCATTTTGAGTAATTTCGTGGGGGATTCAGGGATCCTTCTTCCTGGCAAGGTGAGTGGTTTTCACACCACCTCATTTATTAATGAAGAATGTCATGGTGGTATTGTCCCTCACTACTGGCACGTGGTGATCTCTGATGTTC